ATGGTCTGTGCCTGTGAATCGACCTCGTTGGACAATTGATCGATGGTGCTCTGTGATTGATCGAGTAGCTTGGAAATCTCATCCTTTTGCTTGGACACCAGGATAAACTCACGTTGCTTTGACTGTGACTCTACCTCTGCCTTTGACACACGGTTTGATTCCTGAGTGAGCTTGTTGGACAGTTGCTCGTTGACATCCTTGAGCTCCTTGAGCTTTTGATTGTACTGTGCCTCGAACGACTCCCTCAGATCCTTCTCCTTCTTTGAGAGCTGAGATGTCATGTCCTTTAGCTGAGAGGTCTGCTCGGCTGAGAATGCCGACTTGACAGTTTCAACCTCTGCCATAACCTCCTTGTTCTTGAGAGACAGATCAAAGTTGGACTGCTCCATCTCCTTCAGTGACCTCATAAGCTCCTCGATTCTCTTTGTTTGGGTTGCTTCACGACTTTGGTTTGATTTGGTTTCCTATTATTATTGTTAGTTTGGTATGTTAGTATAATAACCTCTACTGCTGATGTTGTTGGGGTCATATGGCCCCAACACATACCAATTCAAAGTCATTGATCTTATTCTCCAACATTGCAATCTGGTCTAACAAAGGCTTCTTGTCAGAGTCAATAGCCTTCTTACGCTCACTCTCCTGTGCAGTCTTCTTGAGTTGACCAAAGTCAGTCTCCAGATCCTTATGTTGCTTGACGAGGATCTGGTTGCTTCTTTCCAAAGCCTGATACTTGCTGGCCACACTTGCCACCTCCTTCTCTGATGACTTTAGTGTCTGCTCCAATTGGGCGTAGCGTTGTTCACTTGCCGCCAGACGCTCTTGTAAGGCAGTGTACTCGAATAGACTGACCGAAGCCTCGCTTGACTTTGACTTCTCGACTGCTTTGAACCTCTGCTCACTTGCACTCAACTTGTCCTGTAGTTGCTCAAAGTCAAACTTGCTGACAGTTGTCTTGAGGGATTGCTCAAGATTCTTGATCCTGGTCTCACTCTCTTTTATCTTCTCCTTCAGCTGATCATTCTCGAATGAGCTGGCCACACCAGACTTTGATGATTGCTCGAGGTTCTTGATCCTAGCCTCACTCTCCTTTAGTTTCTCCTTCAACTGGTCATTCTCTAGAGTACTCAGGGTGCTGGACTTGGATGCTTGCTCCAAGTTCTTGAGTCTTGTCTCTGTCTCCCTGAGCTTGTCCTTCAATTGGTCATGCTCAAACTGACTGACATTGTTTGTTTTGGCAGACTGCTCAAGACTCTTGAGTCGTTGCTCACTCTGTCTGAGCTTGTCCTTCAGTTGCTCGTGCTCAAAGACACTGATAGTGTTGTTTGTAGAAGAAATCATTGGCGATGCCTTGTTTGGCGTACTGTTGGCAGAGCTGGTTGTGCTTGTACTGGTAGTGAGGCTGGCATTGGACTGATGCTTGGGCAAGCTTGGTGGTGGAGTGGTTGGGATAAGTGGCTTTGGTTTGACCGCCGTTGCTTGACTTGAGGTGGACAGTGAGCTTGTGAAGCTAGTTGCCGAGGTATTGGATGGTGTCGATTTGTTCAAATTGACAGTGGACTGAGTCTGGACTGTGGATGGAGAGGTCGGCTTTGGTGGAAGCGAGGGTGGAGTGCCCGGTGTGCTACGGAGAGACTTTGTTCCTGCTGGTGCTTGGCCAGCAAGTACTGCGTTCAAGATGAGTGCGGCCTCTTTTCTCGAGACACCCTTCTTGCCAAGAGATTTCAAAGCTTGATCCACCTGTCTGAATATCTCTTTCCATTCATCTGGGATGTTGTTGGTTTCGATGGCACCGGTTGAAGTGATACCGATATGAGTGTTGTGTTTGTAGTCTGTTGGACCTGAAATCTCCATAACAGCATCACCTGACCTTGAAGAATCATCAGATCCACCACTTCCATCGCCCATCAAATTGTTCACCTTGCCCTGAATGGCGCCTTTCCATCCTGCAAACTTTGTCTTCAAAGAGCTGTTGCTGTTGTTGTTGCTGTTGCTGCTGCTGCTGTTGCTCTTGGACTTTGATGATTTAGATGTTGATGCCGCTGGTTTGTTCTTGGAGAAGTCCTGTGCCTTGGGACGATCCTTTGTTGATATGGATGTAGAAGATGTAGTCTTTGGAGGCGTAGGTGGAGGTGCTGCCTTGGTGGAGGTGGACAGTGATGATGATGGCTGAGGTGATTGAGGACTGGATCCAGAAAATGAATATGACTTGGCAAGCTTGGGCTGGGTTGAGGTCACTGGTGGTGTTGTAGTGTTTGGCTTGGCAACAGCGTCATTGTGGACCAGTTGCTGTAGAGATGATGTTTTTTGTGTATGATTATGTAGACATATGGAACAGTACAAAGGTTTGAACCTGTTGGCCTGGAAGTTCTTGCAACTGCATTGTTGACAAGAAGACATCTTTATCTGTTGCTAAGTTGTTATTTCTATCAATGTAATGGTAAACAAAACAAGTTGATTCCTAGTAAGTATGTACAAAGACCAACCAAAACTAGTTGTATTTCAAAAAGCATGATTTTTTTTGCTTGAAAAACCATTGTTGACGCAATACCATCAAAAGGGTCAGTTGGCTGTTTTTAGTGTCGCATCACCTGACCCATTGTCAGTCTCGGAGAAGTAACATGATATTTAATATTATTTTATTTATTGCTTGTTTGTATTATTACCAACAACAAGGTTATCAATTGATTCCTCAATCGACAGTGACTCGTCAACCTTGAATGAGTCTTGCAGCTTCTCCAGATCCTTCAGACCTGGTGTCAGAGACACGGCGCCAACAAGCGTCTTCAAACGCTCAATGTTGGCCAGTACCTCCTTCCTTTCATTGTCTTGACACTGTGTTAAAATATACAATTGCTTCCTCAATTGATCTCTCTCTCCCAACACCACTTTGATTGCTGCCATCGACTTGCGAATCTAATTTTGTTATTTGTAGTATGTGAATGATCGATAAATCGTTAGTTGATGACCTTATCATTATAGTGTGTGAACTATGCTTACCTTCTTCAAACGTAGTGGATTTGTGAGCTTGTGTCCTTTGGCCAGCTCTCTCTCAGTGGCCACCTTGTTTCTCTCCTTGAGAAGCACGAACCAGAGTTTGTGAAGATCCTCGAATGACTTGCCTCGCAGATCTCTGGCCTCCCATGAATTTCCAGATAGAGGATATGTGCCCTTCTTGTATTCGTGCTCAAAGAACTGCTTGAGACCATTGTTTTCTGTTGTCGCTACTGTTGTTGTCGATGATGATGATGTCGCTACTGATTGCACGGTCGAGAAAGATCTGTTAAAGTTGGAGAGGGGAACGGTCGACCTCCTAACCAACATCATTGTAGATGGCTTTATAAACGATGTTGTAAATGAGTTTATCATCTCTTGTGTGTGTATGTGTATTTGAATTTGAATGTATTTGTTTAAAGAGATAGATGGTTGGTGAAAGTTGTTGTCGTTTGTGATCATTGACTCAAATTATAAAAAATTGAAAAAAAAGGTAGGTTTGGTCATTGACCTATTCTTCATGACCTCAACATAAACCATCTACATCATATTCAACAACATTACTACAACATACAATGTATAGGTCTTTATTCTCAAGGTCAGGTCCATTGGCACGTCATGGCTACAATGCCATGCTCAACTCACAGAGAGCTGGTCACAGAAAGCCAATCGTCTTTAAGGAGCCAGGTGTTTATGATGGAGAGGTATGTTGTTGTGTGATTGATGTATTTGTTGTCGTCATTGACAACCTCTTTATCCTTACTAACGACAACAAATACAACATAACAATAACAATAACAATAACAACAACATTAACAATAACAATAACAATAACAATAATGATAATAATAATGATAATACATTGACAACAACATAGGTACCAGAAACTTTTGATCAACACCCAGATATGATGGCACCTGATGATGATCCCTACTTGAACAGGAATCCAAGTGCAGTTATCAACTACTTTGTTGGAGCATTCGCAGTTTTGGCTGGCGTCGGTTTCGCTTGCTATATGTTTATCAACCCAACAAGAAAGGAAGTTGTGAGTATTAGTTTGGTTGTCAGATGACTAGACACAACGCTCATTAGGTCAGGACGACGTACAATCTCACTGACACACTCCTTCTACCAAACCATGGTTTATAAACACAGGTGGAGAGAGATCTCCCTTTCAACAACTTGTATGTGGAGTATGGAGGCGATCCCGAGAAGGTGCCAGACGAGACTCAATGGCGCATTAGAATGGGTGATAGACAAGCGATCTACAAATCAAAGTATGGAGACAATTAATAACTTCACCAACATATATCATTCCGACCTATTGTGTTGGATGTCATAGTATTGCATATATATAAACAAAAGTCAGTCATTTGTGATGTTCAGTTGAATGCAGATGTGAGATTGATCGGTAGGGACTTTCTCTCTACCTGTTTTTGTTTTTGTTGTTGTAACTAATCAAAGGGAGAGAGATAAATAGATAGAGATATAGATAGGATGATAGTACATACGGATATATCATTCCCATTGGAGTTTCCTGTTGGCAAGAAGTATGTGTCTGCATTGTTCACTCTAAAGAAGGGTGAGGATTCGTCAGTTGCTGTCGATCAGTTCTCAAGAGAATATGATATACCACCATACCTATCTGTTTCATTGTTGAACACAATAGACACCTTCTTAAACATAAACCGACAGGAGTATCATGACCGACAGGATGAGGCTTCTAGTGAGTGTCCAATCATTCAACGATGACATCGTTGTCACAAGTGTTCTTTGATCTCTCATCTTCTAACACTCTAGAGCTCATTAACTAAACTAATATATATATATATATATACACAGTTGAAGGATTCCCTCTATCAATGATTCAATCAAAGACAATGACATTGGCGCATCAGTACACTGAGAGAACACACTATTGGAACAGTATGTTGCCCAATGAAGAGACTGCCGAGCAAAAGTTCCAGGAGGAGAGAATCAAGATGTTCCTCTATCTTGTCAACAAGTCGAGCGAGTCAAAAGAGAAGATCATCAACCAGGAGGAGTTATTCGCCACTGCATTCAACATTCTGCTGAGCAAGCGAAAAGAGGAGTTACAATCAATCACTGACAGTCACTCAAAGTTGATGCAAGAGGCAGCGGATGAGGGTGCTAAGGATAAGATCGAGGAATTGATCACTGACAATGTATCAAAGACTGATGAGGTGGAGCTGCGATATCAAGGCGAGATAAGTGCAATGAAAATGAAGCAAAAGAACGACTTTACTTCTTTCCTCAATGATCTCTATTGGCTAGAGACTACAAAGGATGAGTTGGACAAGGCCGACGAAGATCTTTTGGTGACAACAAAGCCTCGCAGCGGCAGTAGTAGCAGTAGAAAGGGATCAAACCCTCCTCAACCATTTCACAGCAGAAAGCAAGATCAGACAACACCATCCAAAGAGTCTGAAAAGGTCAGTATAATTGGTTCTTTGGGACAAGGATTAGACAAGGGCGTACAGAGAGCCTCTTCATTCTTCTCATTGGATCGTTTCAAGAAGACAGTTCAACAAACACCTGGACAGCCACAATCATCGACACCAACATCTCAACAACCACCACTGGCGAGTCCAACATTGGAATCGCCAACTACAGAGCCCAGAAGTAAGCCACTTAGTATCTCCAGTTTATTATCTTCATCATCATCAACATCGCCATCATCAACAGTTGGCAACAACAACAACAACAACAACAATGATGTATCATCATCGTCAGGTGCATCTTCACTCATTGGCAGCATCACCAATACATTTTCCAACAGCGTCTCCAATTCAAAGCCTCCAAGAAAGGAATCAGTTGGATCGACATTCTCACCTGCTGTCAGACCAGCCAAACAAACGGCCAAGCCACCATCCTTGGGTTACAGAATAATGGACAACCTACAGGTTGGTGTAGGTGTACAGAAGAAGAAGATATTTGAATTCCGTCTGATAGATGCCTCTCCTCTTCAACTCTGCCGACCTGTCTCGACTGGAGAGTATCTAAAAACAAAGAGAATAGAGTACATCCAGACACTCTATTCAGACTCACTCTCTGCTGTAATACTTTTGACCGATCCTTCACTATCGTTCAGCTCACAAAGTGAGAAGAGTAGGTTAGTAGAACACAGTGCTGTGTATGGACTAGGATATGATTGTCTAGATGTAAATTACTAATATGATGATGGGGATGACCAAACAGACTTTATTCAATATTGTAATATGTCCACCGAGTTACACTTTGATTCTGTCGAGCAACAGATTTCCATTCTCAAAGAGTCTGTCGACACCAACCACTTTAAGAATGGCGATTTTTTCATTACCAAGCACTCCAACCTCTCTGATGTCCAGGTTGTCTTTCATCTTTTGGCTGACAGCAAAAGTAATGATACGCCACTTGCTTCTAACATTCAGAAACACCCTGCTAACAGTTCTGTTCGTATCGCACATATCTAGACCGAACACCATGGGGCGAAACACCACTTTCAACGTCGTCAGATGTGGCAAGAGGACTTAGGAACATATTGTTGACGGCCTCCAAGTATGGAATCGGATGTTTGACAATCCCAATCGCATTGACAGAATCAGAGGTGGACATCAACGTGACAAATACAGCATTAGCACTCAGGACTTCTTCTGTGTTAAGGTTTGTAGTTGATATTTCAAACAAACATTGCAAAAAAGCTAATCATGAATATTCTTCTTATCAAACAGTGTTGTAAGGGCATCTTTGACCAGTTTACACGAGTACACCTCCATCAAGTGTCTGCAGTTTTCTCTTCCACCAAGCCTGGATGGAGGTAACACACAGGGACAGGGTCCTGTAGCCACAAAATGGAGGTCATCCATTTCTCCTTTCATCTACGAATCTAGTTAGTTTGTAGGACAATAAGTGTTAATAATACATATGATTGCAAGAGGTCACTCCTCTAGTGTCTGATCATGACCGATGGAAGGGATGACGACAATCGATTTCCATGCATGTGTCATCCAAGGTGAGATAACTATATTGACCGGTTGTATGTCTTCAAAATCCAGGAGCTCCATCTTCAATGAGAGTGCCACTCTTTTTATTGTTGTGGTTTGGAATGGAGTTAGTATAATGTATTGTTACCTCCATAGCAGTGATCACGATGGAAAAAGAGTATCTGTCTAATCAAAGTTGAATTGTAGTAGAAATAGAGTTTAGAATTTAATCCTAATTATGGAGAGTCATTTTTGTAATTCTACTATTATTCTACTTTCTATACCTGTTAGCGCTGTAACAGTTTGCACGACCGAGAGAGTTACGAGGAGAGTTGTTTCGGAATTCGAGTTTTCTCAGCACCTTGGTCAGCCCGGAGTCCCGAGTTCACACCCTGAGTGACGTCCACATCATGGGGAATGAACACATTCACGATGTGAAATGGGCATGGAATACGTATCCATTCCCATTGCCATCCATATAGAAGAGTGTATTTGGATAATTCAGAGGAACTGGTTTGCATGACTCGGTAAACCATTGCTGGAATGTGTGATTCTTGGGTACAAGTGCCACCAAGTGTTGTCTAATTGGCTCATCCACTTTGGTGTTGCTTGGAAAGGTTGATTTGACATAGAACAAACTGTAGCTGGAAAATCTTGTGAATGGAATTGTGACTCGGTAAGAGATTGGTCCAAGAGGGAATATAGGATAGACAGTGTGATTGGGCGAGTTTCCATCCGGGCCAGGACTAACTGAGAACACAACTTTGAGGACCTGAGCGTGTAGACAGATGGTGGGATCATTCCAGGCACCAGCTTCATGGGAGAGACATTCGTGATCAATGGTCAGATGTTGGATATTGTTGTTGTTGTAGTTGAAAATATCAATGCTTGTAGGCTGATCATAATGCCCATAGTATAGTGTCTGGACACTTGGAGGAATGAGTCCTGTGATGTCTGAGGAGAATAGTTAAATCAGCAGTACTTTTGTTGTTGGAGTGATCTTGTATCCACTGACACTGGTCGTATCTTTGTGTATCACTGTGTCGTCAACGAGAGGAGAGTGAGTGGGTCAGTTGACAACGACGATCGATAGATGTACATACGTATTTGTTGATCATCAAATAGTTTATCTCTGATGTCGAATGATAACAACATTGGATATTGACTCCACGCTGGAGGGCGACGCGAAGAAGGATTGATCAGCTTCATCATCACAGTCATTGCAACCTTCAATGATAACGTGTAACTACACGGTCCAAACTAGCTTCTCAACCACCTTTAATTATAATTAACTGTCATATTCCAACATCTTGAATGAGTTGAAACAACAACAGGTAATCATAATTATTGATGTCGCGACCTGGCTATTACTAGCACGGCGAATAGGAAGTCATAGAGGTTGTACTTGATAGGACCACTCTTGCGATTGATATCCAGTATCTTGACCTCCTATATGTGTTATATTGTGTTAGTAAACCATCTACCAAAGTCTCTGTTATCAATGAATCAGTCTGCGATGTTGATGATCCACGTTGATATAGATCACGATGAACGGGCAATGAATGTGGTATATATCGCTTCATCTTGATGAGTCGAGTCTGTTGGAGTATCATAGGAGTTGTTGGATGATGTTGGTCCTTGGTTGGTGTGCGACGATCCAAGTGAGCTGAAATGGTCGTCGTTGAATGGCTGTCCAAGACTGTAATTCCTATGAATCACTTCAACAGTGATGTATAATATATAGATCGCTTCATCTTGATGTGCTGAGTATTTCTATAGTCTTGATTGGTATTAGTTATTGTTAGAAGTAGAAGTGCGACGATCGGTCCAAGGTTTTGATTGATACCTATGTAGTTGGATGTTGATGACCAAGGTTGATCACAACAAATTAATCGTGGAGGTGTCCACGCATACAACTCCTGTGGGAGATTCATCGACTTAGAGTCGAATTCATTTTTGTGCGGCAGGTTTGGCAACTGAGTGTGCGGGCCGCAATGACCAGTTGTATGAGCGATAAGATTATTCTTGCATTTATTTGAATTATTTTGTATTGAGTGTGTTGTTGATGAGATCAAAGTCTGAACAGTGTGTTCCATTTGGCATCGTGATGAACATTGATTACAGATATATATATGGTAATACTCTTCTTCAGTATCCTTCTCTTCTTTGTTACTCTTCCAGAGGCAGTAGATATGTGACCACAACTCTCGTCAACAATGCGACCAGTGTAGTACTTGGAGTCATAGAACACCAGCACATCCATTCCTAAGCAAACGTCATCGTCTTGTGTCAGCTGTATCTTGTTGATTAGCCGCAGTCTCTCAACTCGAACGAGTTCAGTTTCTTCAGACGTACGATACTTCCTATGGTTGTACTTGACGACGTAGTTGGGATAGTGATCATAGACGATGACGCCCTCCCACCATGTATCCTTGTCTCCTTCATGGTTCGTCTGAGCGAGCACCTTCATGCCAGCTTGGAACAGATTCAGAACATTCAGATCTTGGTCGTCCTGCACCTGTTGCATACACTCGTCATGCTCCTCTGGCAATCGTTTGTCGACATCATCCAATAGGTGGGTAGCAATGTTAATGCTACCAACTGCCTGTTGTAGACTCATGGACACTGGTAAGGGATGAGCATGAGCGAGTGCAGGANNNACAACTCGATTGAATGGACCGACTGGAGAAGGTAGTGGTCGAGCATTCAATGATTGAACAGACGATGAGAGTGCTGGCGATGTTTGAGCA